ATTATTATAAAAAAAAACAACTTACTCGATAGATAAAAAATTCAAATAAATTTCGATTCGCGTTAGTATTGTAAAAAAAAGAAACAAAAATATATATATATATATATAACAAAGAAATGAAATTATTGTAAAATTAATATCAATATTGATTTTGTTCGTTATTAATTTGTTCCTTGTTGTTTGTTTTTCCCATAGAAATATGAAGCTCCAACCGTTCAAATTTAAAAACAACGAATTCGCGGCTGAATTCTCTTGTGCATCGTTAAGTGCACGAGCAAACAGAGACGAAACTGCACCGGTCGCGGTTGGTTCCACATTGGCTGCTGCTGTTCTTCTTACCATCACTGGTTATGCAGTTTATCGATACTTCAAAGTGAAGAAGGTCAAGTACGATACTATGGAATAAAACTAAACCATTTTTAGTCTCCGCAATCAAGGACACTGTCACGACGATGCCAAAGAGATAAATAAAAACGATTAAATAAAAAAAAAAAAGAAAAAGAAAAAGAAAAAAAAAAGAAAAACAAAAAGACAGTGAGAGAAATGAACAAAATTTCGACACACAAATAATCAAACAACTTTAGTTTTAAATTAAACCTAAACTTATCTTATATCAAAAATCTTCCTTCGTTGTATATATAATATATATATATTAATATTTTCTTTCATAGTGTTATTTCTTCATTTAATTTTTTTGTAATTTTTTCTTCGAACACGAAGGATAATTAGAAAAATAAAAATAAAAAAATTTGAATCGAACAACCCAAGATACGATATTGATGATTATGAAAGTGATCAAAGTTCACACGATTAACGTTACGAATAAAACGTGTTTGATATATTATTTTCTTCGTTAATTGTTTCAAAAAAAAAAAAAGAAAAAAAAAAGAAAAGCAAGAGAAATACGTAGATACAATTAATTTCAATCACTTTCGTAATCATCGATTAATAAGTCTCGCTTTTTGAAAGTAAGAGACACTAGTAACGTGTTATATCGTCGAAGCGTTCTGTGATATATTACAGAACTTATTAATAATATTGATTATCTTACGATTAGAAAAATGGACATGATATAGGAAAAAAAAAAAAAAACGAAAAAAAAAGAAAAGATAAAAGAGAAATACAAAATAATAATAATAATAATTAAAAAGCAGAGAAAACAAAAACAAAAACAAAAAAGAAAAGGACAAAAACACACAAGAAACTTTTACTTGTAATATAATATTACGTATATATATTACACAAATTTACCACACAATATAGATAACTATAAAATTACTTATATTTATTGATATTATATCTAAATAGAAATGAAAATGAGGAAGCGTAAAAAAAAAAAAAAAAGAACAAAAAAAAAAGGAAAGAAAGAATAAAGGACGAACGTTCGCGATGATGGTCGGAGTCGGTGTACCTGAGATACCTGAGAGAAAAAATTCGATAATTAATTGAGAAAAAAGAATATAAAGTTTTGTCAAATTGAATTTAGGAAAGAAAAATGATAGAGAGATGGATGACGTTGTATTATTGCGAACATACATAAATTCTCTATTTCACTGATTAAGAGTATCATTATCGCATATCGTTAACAAGCTAGTGGCCCATCCACTTTTATCTAATTTTTCATAGGATATAAACATATTGTTCGCGAAAGAAATTAGGGTGATCGTTAATCGGCTATTTACGGAAAAAATTTTTACGAGTAACACACACCCACCACCAATACCTTCAATTCAAAATAATTAAGAAAATGGTGCGTTGACTCGATTAATATATTTATTAATTATAATAATATATTCGAAAGCAATTATAAATAATATTATTCAACGCTCAATTCTATTTGATTAATTAATTTAATTATTTAATTGTATTTTCTTTTTAAAACGAAGAGAAAAATGTTTATTCGTTTCGCGTTGACAAATCGTTGACAAAAATATGTCTCATTTTTGCGAAATTATTTTTTATTATATTAATTTAATTGGACGGGGTGAAGGGGAGTGCGGGGAATGGGTGTTGCACTAATTATTTACAAATTAACGACCACTCTAATATTTAGAAATATTTCTCGTTGGATCTTTTAAGGACATCGATAATGAACTCTCTCGTGACGACGATTTATTCAAATTAGTATACGAGACATTACGTATACACATTTATTATTATTATTATTATTATTATTATTATTATTATTATTATTATATATTAATTAATTAATATTATTATTATTAATTCTGTCTATATCCACGTGTAACGCGTTTCATTCGTGTGAAGTGTGAACAATGTCCATATTCGCAAACTCTGATGGTTGTAAAGATAGGCTTTTTAAAAAAAAAAAAAGGAAGAAACAAAAAAAAAAAGCAAGAAAACGTAAAAGGGTTTAATCATTCCCTCTTTAAGCGCATTTCACATTATTCCTTTGTCAATCGTGATCAGTGTTGCGCGAACATAATAAATCCTAATCTCGATATACTTCGTAAATAATAATTATAAATATATATTAACGTAATATATTAAATAATATATATGAGAATAAATGAAAACGTGTTTACACGCATTTTGAGGGAGGGGGAAAAAAAGTTAAAGTAAAAAAAAAAGAAAAACAGAAAAAGATTAAGACGAATAAAATGATATGAACGACGAAACGTAATTAATTATTTTTATTATTTTATTAATTAAGAAACGGATAAAATAATTTAATAAAAATTAATAATAATAATAATATATTAACAATTATGTTGTGTTAATAAGTTTTCTTTTTTTTCTTTTTTCTTTATTTCTATATAAATTCACGCGATTGTGGTTGTAAATTTAAATATATATAATTTTATATATTTAAATTTATTATTTGATTCTCTCTATGTGTGAAACGTAAGTGTGGTTTACGAAAGACGATTTTTCAATTATTAATGATAATATATTTGTAAATACACGTAAATTAAATCTATCGTGTATTATTTCAATGTTATTATAAATTAGATAATCGATTTGTGCGATATTTGTGATCTTTGACTAACTAAGCTAGGCTTTTTAAATAATCGTTGCTTTCGTACACACGGGGCAGTGGGGGGGGGAGGGGGCTCGTGGAAAAATAATAATTCGATAGTTTAGTGCATAAAAAGTGGAACGAATCGTATGAGAGGGAAAAAAAGAGAAATCAATTTTTTTTTCAATTCGGTATGATAATTGTCGTCCCACGACACACCACACACACACACACTGTGCTATTTTTTTTTGTAACATATCGTGTAAATAAATATATATTCTACGCGTATGTGTCGTTTCAAATCGAAGAAATATTTCAAACATATTTTGTAATGTATTAACTTCGATTCGATGATATTTTCAATCAAAATGAACGATGTACGTTCGTATGATCATTTATAGAAAAAGACCTAATCGAATAATCAGTATTGATAGTTTTTAAATTATTATTACATTTCTTAAAAATATATATATGCATGCACGTGATAATAATTATGACAATGGATTAAATCAACAAATTTGTGTGTGTATAATTTATGAAAATAATTATTTATAAAACCAATCATTATATATATATATATATAAACAAATTTGTTTATTCTTTCTCGAAATAATCCACTATCATAATTACCAGTACATGTGTATGTTTATTATATATATAAATATATTATATATAAAATACACAAATACACACAAGAAAGAAAAGATCTGGAAAAGAAAAATGATGATGTTCAAACAACGTTTCTAATAATTCCTGATTTTGACGTTTCCTTTTTTTTTTTTCTTTCGACATTACAAAAAACATAAAAAAAAATTAATTCAAAGAAATAAAGATTAACGATCGAAGTTCGTAATTTTGTGGGATGATATTTGTAAATGCGAATGATAAAACGCGTTTAAATGTACACCGCGTATGTGCCTGTACGTGTGATGCGTGTGTGTGAGTGTGTGGAAGTGTGTCTTTAAATACATTTACATGTATTACACCTATTAATATCTTACACACACACACACACATTAAACACGTGCGTATGCATACGCTATATATATATATATAT